TATACACCACACATGGGATTTATGCCAACCTGCCCAATAGCAAAACATTGTACAGTTCCAAATCTGTGGTCTCAAGCTTAGAGCTCAAAACATATGGAAACAGCTTTAGTTAAATCCCCCCAGATAAAAAGGCAGTTCCGGTGTATTAGAAGGCAAATATGTTGTAAATCATAAGCATCAAGTGAGAAATCCTGTCAAGTTAAAATGTAGAATACCAAATTTATGTATGTAAGCAGAAATAAGGAATACATGTTTCAGAACTTGGCATTGAATAGAAGCTGGTAAATGCATTTTGCAGTTTGCTTATGCACTTAGTTTTGCTTGTGATTTTACAGGATTATGGTGAGTACACAGCACCGATCACCTCCAGTACATTTTCTTTTGCAACAAAAGATTGAAGTACTTTTTCCTCATGTTTGATCAAATTCCTAGAGATGTTTGAAATGAAGGAGAACAAAATAAGTCACTAGTTAAATTTACAGCTGTGTCTACATGTTTTTGGAGACAACACCCAGAATTTTTTGATGCGTATTTTAACTACTTAGCCCCAGATTCACACAGCTATCTGTCCTTTCAAAAACTACCCTCCACCTGGTGTCTTAACTTGCCTTGATTGCAAGGGTTGTTTCTCTTGATTTTTTTGCAGGCTATGTTTCTAATTAGGAGGTAGACATCTAATCAGCATTTGTGGACCTATGTTTTAACAAAATGATAATGGAAATGCCAAGTGTTCTTATCTTCTAAAGTGAAGCCCTGCCTGTTTTACTTAAATTCAGTGTAATTTCTGATTAACTGACCTTTTAAGTAAAGCCCTTATGCTTTATAGGGTGTTGTTACTCTGCCCTGAATATTGTCATATAATGCCTTTTAGCTAATTGGTGCCTGTGTATTTATCAAGAGGAGTGAACTGATGTTACCTGTTTTGCAGATACGCAACTTGAAAGCATAGGAGTGTACTGTATACCTCTGTTACAAATTGAGGGAGCTGTTTGTTAAAAACGAGTGAGTTGGGATGAAGAATTCAGCACTGTATTGCTGCAGCTTATGTTCAACTTCAGAAGCAACAAATTTTAGAAATTGGACCTTTGCAGCCTGTGTGACTCAGCAGACTTCTGTACTGGCACCCTTGCTCCTGAGGATTCTTTTTTCTATTTGCTTCAGCTCTGTAAAAGAGACACAGTGGTCCAGATAGGTTTAGTCACAGAGTTTACGTGTTCGTAACAACTCTTCACCCAGCAATCTTGGCCATCCAAACTTTTGTGATAATTGCACTTCATCTATTTTTGTTTGAAAAAAACCCAACCGGTTACTAATTACTGTAAACTACAAGAGCCACAGTTCTTTGTATCTGCATAGATAAATCTGTAGTGGGGCTATATTTGACAAAGAGTTTTCAGATTAGGTCAGGTCTGACTGAGGATTTGAAGTAGAAGGTACTTTGTGGCTTTGCAAATAAGTTCTGAGTATATCTCCACCTCAGGATAAGTAGAATAAAAGAGGGCAGAAGGATGTTTGTGGGAGAAGTAGACTAGGAAGATTCGTATGTTAAGATGAAAGCAGGTGAGTAGAAGACTAAACAGTGAAGGCCTTTGAAGAGGAGACAAGAAACTTGATCTTCACGCAGGCAGAGGAATAGCACTGGAGGTGGTAGAAAGTACAGAAAACCAGGAATGGTCAGCCTTTTAGCATCAGCATTGCAAATAGCAGTCCATTAACTGTAGTTGTACTCCTTTATATATACGAATTGAGTGAGAACATATGCTTGGTTAGTGAGGGATTATTTTACTGTTTAATATGAAAGCATTTTGTTAATGGGAGAAGATTTTTTTCTTGAGTAATATTTAGCTAAAATCTAGAATTGATGGGGGTGTGGGAACACATGCAATGTTTTTCCTGGGTATGAATACAGGGCTGTTAGGTTCATTGTTGTTCCATTACCAACATATCCACTTTAGAGAATAAATCAGTAGACAGGTAACTAATACTAAATAATGTCAGGATTCTTTGCAAGGAATTCTTTGTTCTGCTCCTCTTCAGAAGCGAAAGAAAAGGCAGTGTCCTATTGTGGTCTTTGTCTTCACTCTGTAGGATCTTACATAATTATTTCCATTGCATCATCACGGCAGTATACGGCTCACTTTCCCTGCTGGTATAGCAGTAAGTAGGGAAGGATGAGAGAAGCTTTCCTGGCAAACTGCTCCTTGGCACATTACTTGAAAACAAGCATGTGCATATAGAGATCATTCCACTCCACTTAGTACTAAAAGGACAGGTTTATACTGCCTAGGGAGAGCTTCTCTTATGGATTAGAGTTCCCTTTCTAAGCAGATCTGTCGGATATGGGATCTGGAGCCTTCCTTTCTTCTTCATGTATAACCTCAGTAAGTTTCCACTAGTTACAGATAGTGGAGTTTCTTATCCCTTCACCCTTATTCTGTGGAGGTTCTGATGAGGCCTCATGGTTGAGTAATTTCTGCCTGAGGGTGGGGCTGAAGCATTAATGCATATTCTTTGTAGGTGCTCAGGAATGGAGCTGGATTCAATTATATTGCCTGCAGGGAGCTTATGAAGAGTACTGATAGGTCATAGATGGGGATTATGCATACTGTGTTGTGTAATGGTGGTGGAAGCTGAGGAAAAATAAACTCTCCAGTAAATCTGTGCTTGCGGGATAGTACCTTCATCATAAGAACGCAGCCTTGTTGAACAGCTTGGCCAGAGTGCTTGAGTGCTGTAAGAGTGCCATGGCTTAAATGAAAACGTACATGCTACCAGCCTATGTATCTTCCCAGTGGCCTCTGGTCTGACATTTGCTTACGTTCTACAGAAATGTGATGCTATTGACATCATTGTTTTAGTTGAAAACTATATACATTAAAAATTATTGGCATTTTTGTCCTACACTTGAGTTGTGGTAGTTTGAAAGTTTGGAACTGTAGGTGAGGTGTGCTGTTTCCTTCATGAGCTCATTCTCTACAAACACAGAACCACTCTCCTTCTGTAGGACACCTTGCTTTAGCGCATCGTTCACTCCGAGGAATGAAAGAGTTAGATAATGAGAAGCTAATGGCATACTGTCACAGGATATCCCTCTCTAGCAGATACAAAGTAGCCAAAACATTACAGAGGAAGAGTAATTTCTGTTCTTATTTTCAGTTTGGAAAAGTAATTCCATGTGCCATTATGTTGATCTTTCTTTGGTGTATCAAATAATTTGTTTTACTTAGGTATGTTTAATCTTATTTGATGGACGTTTTGGCTGGCAAATGGAATACTGGTCACTAGTTTATCTGATAATGCCCTGGGCTAGTTTAGATTTAAGGAAAGATAAGGTTGTACTGTCCTTTATTATACTTTTATATTTATTGTAAATAAAGAATAACAGTTCTAAACTTAATGGTTTCATAGAAGTCTGAGTCAAAGAGGGCATTCAGTACCTCAGCCTTTTCCATGTCCTGTGCTCCATTCAGCAGCAGGCCCACATTTTCCCTAGTCTTCCTTTTGTCACCTATGTAGCTATGGAAGCCCTTCTTGTTACCTTGACATCCCTTGCCAGATTCAACTCTAGGTGGACTTCGGCTTTCCTAACCATGTCTCTGCGTGCTTGGACAGTGTCTATATATTCCTCTCAGGTTACCTGTCCCTGCTTCCACCCTCTGTATTCTCCCTTTTTATGTTTGAGTTTTGCCAGGAGCTCCTTGTTCATCCATGCAGGCATTTTTAGCTGACTTCTTGGTCATTTGGATGGACTGCTCTTGAGCTTGAAGGAGGTGGTCTTTGAATAACCAGCTTTCTTGGACCTTCTTCCCTCCAGAGCCGTTATTCCATGGTACTTCTTCAAGTAGATCCCTGAAGACACCAAAATCTCCTCTTCTGAAGACCAGGGTTGTGATCTTGCTTTTTGCCCGGCTTCTCAGGATCCTGAACTCCACCATCTCATGGTCATTGCAGCCAAGGCTGCTTTTGACCTTCATATCCCCAACAAGTCCTTCCACGTTAGTAAGTATGAGGTCCAGCAGAGCACCTCTCCTCATCACCTCCTCTGT